TATAATTAATCAATTTGAGTATTCAATGGATGAAATAAAACAGATGAACAAATAAAATATAATTAAGATTGAACAAGGAATTGTGTTATGAATAGAAACATTGTTTTTGAAACTCCGAAACTATTTCAAAATTCCGAAACTATTAAATTCCGAAACTGTTTTTAAATTCCAAAATTCCAAACCATTTCAAAACTCCAAAACTTTAAAAAAAGGAAAATGACACTACAAGTACTTCATTATTGATTAAATCCTTTCAAAAACAAACAAAAATGAAATCGTAAAGTTTTTTTTTCATTTTCTTTCATTTAAATTTTATCACATGACGGGGATGTGGAATATATTTTTGCAGATCATAAGATATTTCCTTGGTTTTTAATAGTCAATTAAATAATTAATAAATTGTCATGCTTTTTTTCAGAAAACAAAGGTCTGCAAAAAAAAAATTTGAACTCTGCAATTTATATTAACTTTGTCTGGTTTTGTTGCAGTATGCCCCATTTAAAATACATCTTAATTTAAAACTTTATGTTGATACAGTTTTAATAAAGAAAAAATGAAAAAAAAAACAGTTTTATTTATTATATTTATTTTTATATATATGCTTACCCTTATTTGTTGAATATTTGTTCAAAAATATGATTTGAATTTAATTTCATTATTGTTATATTTGATGAGAGCAATGCATTCTAAAGTTCTTTATATTAAACATGTATAAGAATTTTATAAAACCATGGCTCTTGTATATGTGTATTTTAATCTCAATAAAAGTATGATATGTTTGTATTAAAATCATCTAAATAGTTCTTTTGACCATAAATAGATGTCCTTTGAGTAAAGGTTATAACCACCTCTGCTTTATCAATATTTATTACTTTTTTGGATCATGCTAGTAAATATGATGTGATCTATATATTGCATCAACTTCAACAGACCTTTTATTGATTTAGATAATCAGAATTATAACTATTCCGAGATCAAATAAATATAAGAAATAATAATTAAATGGTTAAATAAAAATAAATTAAATGATTAATTAATATTAATAAATGTTTCGCAAATTCACCCTTGAATTGTTTTACCCCGGTAACACTATTTCCGATTAATAATCAAGTCGTAAACTGATTCAAGTGCTCGATATTTATTTTTGTTAAATTGTTTTTATATATGTGATCATTTACCTAATTTCTGATATGGTTTTCTAATTATTATACAAAATATTAACTTCCTGGGATTTTTTTTTTTTGAATTTTATGTATATTTGAATTGTTGTTCATATCTGAATTTAAAAGATCTGATAAAAAATTTAGAAACAATCTGTAATAATGTTTTTCATATCAATTAACAAAGATAAATGATTTAAATGTTCCTTTACGCATTTCCTGATGCTTGTCACCAATATTGATTGCTTTTAGTTCACATGTTTCTGAGTATGTATGTCGAACAAGCATGTTAAAGTACTAGTAGATGGTCTTTTTATTATATCAACTAAAGTTTAAAAAAAATGAATAAATAAATCAATACAACGAAATCAAACACCTTGCATATGAATTTCCTGATCTTTATTAGAAGCATGCTTTGAACAAATCACAGATTATCGACAGATTATGAAAAAGCAAGTTTAGTACTATTTATCTCAATAACGAATTAATTTTTTTTAAAAAAAAAAAATAACGTAAATTCCATTTGTAACATAATATGAGTGGATCTGAGGATCGACATACCGATAGGGTAAAAAAACCCAGACTGTGCTGACTTTTATATAACGTGATTATTCATTATATATATGTCGTCTGTATATATCATTGAGGAAGATTATGTTGGAGAATAGAAATATAATTATTAATCTTTTTTAGTTTTTTAGGAGTTATGATTATCTTTTTTTGATTAGATTATTTCATATCTATTTATTTATTATCAATTATTTACTATAAATTTTTATACTAATACATAATCATAACGCACACATACATATCTTATTATTTATTTCTAATTCCCATTATTTGATTAATTGATGATAGTACGCAAACAATTGTACAACAAAAATAAAATAAATAATATATAAAGTTTATGGATGTTTTTTTTTTTTTTTTATTTTTATCTCATCATCAAAAAAAATATATATATTTTAAAAAAAAATAAACAAATAAAATAAATAAGTTTTTTTTTTAAAATTATTTTTTTTATATTTTTAACTACTCTCGCTCGTGCTCATTCATTCATTAAAATTCAATCCCTTGGAAATTCTCTCGTTTAAAGAAAAATCGAATAAATCAACGAGTACAATGTGTCCAGAACCTATTAACAATTCTAAAATATCTAGAAAAAAGGTATTATCAACAACACGAAAAGGCAATAACATTAATAATAATAATAATAATAGTAATAGTAATAGTAATAGTAATAGTAATAGCAATAGTAATAATAATAATAGTAATAGTAATAATAATGCTATTATTATCTCGTGTCGTCGGAAATCCTTCAAATCTTCTTTATCAATAGCGGCAGCAAATAATAATGGTAATAATGGTGATGGTAGTGATAGAAATAACAACAGTAAGAATAATAATAATAGGAGGAATAATAATAATGGTACAATAACAATCACTAGAAAAACCTCCAACACCAAAAGACCAATAATTATTATTTCCCCATCTTTGGCGACGACGACGACGAAATCAACAAAAATAATAATACCAGTATATTTTCTACCAACAATAATTAATCGTTCCTTAAACATTTTATTAAAAAGATTTTTAGAAATCTTATCATCTTCTTTATTAATTAACAAAAATTATCAAAAATCCTCCACCCCCACCCCCACTTCCACGACCAACCACAACAACAGCCAACATTATCATCAATCAATAATACAATATAGTACGTTACTAATCGAACTAGTAATTGACAAAATCTTACCTTCTATTTTACCTATTTTTTTATCACAGAGAATCGGCGGCCGTATTTTTTTTTCAAAATTGTTGATTTTATTATTTACAAAACATGTAATAAAAAATTCCAAAATTGCACCCAAACATCGATGGCTTTGTAGCAAAAATGGAATTTTAAAATCAAATTTTAAAAAGAAAAATCAATTCGTCGTCGTCGTTAATAAAAAATCAACATCAACATCATCAATAAAACCATCATCATCATCATCATCATCATCATCATCATCATCATCAGCAACAACAACAACAATATCAAAATCAACTCGATCATCACCATCACCACCATTATTTTCCGTGAAATTTAATGATGAACCGCCAAAACTTCATATATTTAATAAATCTTTCAAAGAACAAATCCCTGTTCTACAAGTTGCCGGCCCAAGTAAAGGCAAATATAGTAGATCAGAATTGGACGAACATAAAAAATTTATGCTGACGAAGATTCGTATTGCTGTTCGAAAGAAAAAATGGAAAAGTGTAAAGAGATTGATTAGAATTGCTTTTAAAACTTGTACATATTAATAAAAACAATAGGAAAATTATTTTATTTGATTCATTTATTAAACAATTTTTAATGATAAAAAAGCAAAAAACCAATTTTCATATACATATAATAAATTTTTGTTTAGTTATATGTAAAATACTAATATTAATTAAAATCTATGTAAAATATTAATAAAGGATAATAATTAAAACGATTATTTGGTGAAAGCTCCATGATTTTTTATAAAATAAGTTAATTTCATCAAGAATATTCAGGTTTCAACGTGAAATAATCTTCTTTGTGAACAAAATTAGCAACTTTTCTTGTGAGCGAGACAAGAATTTCTTTATTTCTATTGTCTTTCTCAATTTTTTTCTTAAAGGCTCTAATAATGCCTTCAATGTTTACCTTTTTTGTTCTAATTAAGACACATATTTCTTTTTCTGTAATCAAATTAGAATCGGAACTACTACTGCCAGCAGCAGGTTTTGATTTTTTCTCTGTGCTACTGCCACTACTTGCACTATTATCAGGTGTTGATGTTGATGTTGATAGTTTTGGTTGTTTTGTTTTTGATGCGGAACTTTTTAATGTAGTAGATGACGATGACGGTGAACCAATGATTGCAGTTGAAGAATCAGATTTCGATTCAGTCTTAATAGTTACAGATTTGGTACTTGCTTTTGGTTTAGATGTGGTGGTGGAATTTGGTGTTGCAGGAGCTGATGAAGATGGCGTGGATGATGCTGTACTTTTTTTGGCTGAAGTTAGAGATTTATTCTTTGGTTTATCGGCAGCTGTTGTCGCAGCTGTTGCTTTGGATTTAGTGGTGGTTGATGATGAGCTTGAAGTTTTATTAGTTGTTGCTGTTGCTTTTGTTTTTGTTTGAGCTGACTTCGCACCACTTTTGGTTGTGCTTTTTCCTTTTTCCGATTTAGGAGGCGAGATTAATTTTGCAGAATTAAGACTAGATGGCAATGATTGAGAATTTTGACCTTCCTCCTCGTCGTCTGTTCCATCGAGTTCAACTGAACTTGCATAAGGATCTGATTCTTTATCACTGTCATCATATGCAACATTTTTTTCCAATGTTCTCACAAGTTTCTTGAGATTTTTTCCTTCAGCTGTTAATTTGTTTCTCTCCTTGTCTTCCTCAAATTCTTCCTCGGCAGTACCACTAAAGAATTTGGTTTTAACTAACACCGGATCTTTGACATCCTCTGGGTTTTGTAAATCAAGATTATCTTCTTCATCGTCTTCAAACACTTGTTCATAGTCCATCTCTTCGAATTCGTCCTCATATTTACCATGAAATTTAGATTCTCCTTCATCATCTGATCTTATCAAGTCTGTTTCATTTTCTACAGCTTTAAGATTAGACTTATTGTCATAAATTCCACCCTCCTTCTCTGCCATTTCTCTTTCTTTATCGTTTTTACCAGATCTTCTCATGAACCATCTATCATTTTCACGTTTTTTTGCTTTTCCCATCTAAATATTAATAAATTAATTATCTATTTACTTTGTTTATAAAAGGAAACACTCCATCATCATCGTTATGATATACTTACAATTTCTTCTGCTTCTTCAATCGTAAGTGGAGTAAATTTTGGTTTTGGCTTAAATTCATACCAATGACTAAGTTGTTTAAATTCAACATATTTTTCACCTTTTTCATTAGTCTATTTTACAACAAGTAGTGTGAGTATATATATTTTTTAAAAAATATATATATATATATATATATATATAGTGTGTAATATATATTATATAATATAATATATAATTTACTTTATGAAACATTCCTCCATATCTAACGTCCTCAGTATTACAATATTGTCCAACCCAAGTATTAGATCCGCCAAAATCCTCAAGTACCCAAGGTAACCTTTCTTCAGCTTTTAATTTTCTTGTTTCTTCATCAGCTAAAAAAACCTGCGTTGTTCTTTTCTTAAACAACATTTTTTTATTTTGTCTTGCTCCTGCGTATGGTGCAATTAATGAAGCATCGGCACCTGATGGTGTTATTGCTGCCGCTGCCGCTGCTGCTGTTGTTGAACTATTTACTCCTCCAGCTGCTTGTGAATTCTTAGTTGAACCTCCAGTAGTTGTAATATTAGCTGTTATTGATGAGGAAGAGGATGAATTAGAAGTTGGCAATGTTTGTATATTACTTCTTGAAAAAGTATTATTATTGTCTTTGTTATATTCTCTTGCATTGGGATCTTTTCTAATTAGTTTTACTGGTGGTGTAAAATTTTTTAAATCGGTTTTTTTCTTTGATTGTAGTCTCAGTAAATTTAATTTTTTCGCGGGATCGTACTTTAATTTAAGTGGAATAGTTTCAACAAGTTGGTAATTAGGTTTTGGAGGAAGCATGTTTAGTGAATTTTTGAAGTCTAAAAAAGAAATGAATTAAAGTATAAAATTGATTGTGATCTTCACAATAATAATGACAGGGCTTCACAAGGATGGGAAAACAAAGCCACATTCCATTGTGTAACTAGTACAATTGTGGTGTAGATCATTTTCTTTCTATTTTTGGTAAAGTCTTCAGAATCGTGCAATAATGATAATAATAAATAATAACATATTGATAACATATTAATATATACAAATAGAGTGTAGGCATACGCCACAGAATAATCTCAGTGGAATATACTTTTTGTTTTTAGATGTTTGCCGTGATTATATTTATTATTATATATTGTTATGTATGAGGCCAACAACTCGGAGTGTTACGTAAATTTTTTTATCAACTCTACCCTTAAAAGATAACTAATTGGTTTTTCTACCCGAGAATCAACAAATTGATGAAATTTATAAATAATGCTCAAGCACAATATGTGTTTACATGAACGATTATTTAAAGATTCTATCTTAACCACGTGAAAAAAAAAATCCCCACAAGAAATGCCACTCAAACCAACCATTTAGTTGTCCTTTTTTTTTTTTTTTGTAAAAAAAAAAATCATAAATTTCAATTTTTAATTAGACGTGCGGTAAGACATAAATTGATAGTTTTTTTTTTTTTTTTTTAGATAATAAAAATTCTCAATTGCAAATCAAATCTCTTTGTTATTCTATCTTAACCTATATGATAATGAAAAGTAAAAAACAAAAAGGTCAATAAAAATTCCAATCTTTTGAATTTATCGTTTTATAATTTATTAATATTAAATATTATAATGTCTCAAACCTACACACGGGCTTATAAAAAAATGTGCTTTCTAATTAGTAGTAAAACAAATATTGATTAGAATTCAAGAAAAAAAACTGAGAAATTATCCTGGCTACCTTATAAGAATCATGGATGTGTATTCAGCATTTATACTTTATGTCTTGAGGAGAGGCCATATAGAAAGCTTGTTCAAGATTGAACAAAAAATATAAGTCAGAAGAGTGATTAACATATGTGAAGAAGCAAATTCACACCAAAAAATATGCTCACAATTTTTCCGTTTTCTAAATTTTAGCTTGACTGTCAATATATGCCATATGTATTGAGTTACATATAAGAAATAGGATAGACGCAAATTAAAAACATTCATTTATTTTCAAATCTAATAATGAACGGGGGAGCTACCTGGATCACTATCTGCATAAGCAGCTGTAATTCCTTTTTTGTTTATCTTTATGTGGTGTAAATGGGTGTGGTGGAAGAACACCGGAGAGATTGGACACTTTCATATCTGAATCATTATGTTCATCTTGTAGTCTATAGATGATTTCGACGACTTCCACCAACCAACACTGTTAATCAAGAAGATAAGTTAATTGTAAAATTTAGCAGAGCAAGCAATATCAGTCAAAGGAAAGTTCATTACCCTGAGATCCCACAAGATAACAACAAAATCAAAAAAATATTTTCGTTCTTCCTCGAAACAAGTAGGAATGATTGTCTTGTGTGTTCGCTCGTATTGCAGAATGCCGTGAGATGGAACATGCATCCTCCATAACTCAATTCGGTTATCTATGAAATGCAAAGATTAAAACAATAATATATCACAGACAAAATCTCGATAAACACCTACCATAAGTATGTAGGGAAAAGACGCTCATTTTTGAGAACGTTTCGCACGAAGCTCCTCGAAATTGTTCTCCGATCTCTTCCAGCATATATGAATTACCTATTGGCAATTTGCAACAACCATCCCACGTTGATCGAGGGAGATCTTTATCGCCATACCCACCACTCATCTTCAAATGTCCGACTTCTATAGAAGATTTCTTTAATCGCACGGAAAAGACACCATCTGCTTTTTGTTCAAATGAGGTGACACACTTGCGCCTTTCGCGGCATGCTTTAACAGAAGACAAGATTATTTCTCCTCTTAAGTAAAGGGTATCAAGATTTGCAAATGCATAAGTAACTAAATATCACAAAAGCTGTCACAAATGAAGACCAAAATCGCTCACATGTGATAATGCAAATTCTTTTCTAAGCCAAAAAGCATACTTTTCAAGGAAGGGTGAATAACGTAACCACCGTAGTCTGATTCTGATATATTTGATTGTTGCATGATTGAATATTCCGGAAAGACATCCTGATGACTATGAGAAAAGGAAGAAATTTCAGTTTATGGAAAACCAAATACAGTCATAACTAATAAATAATACTTACAATATTGATAAAATTCTGACGAAAAAACCTGTGAAAGGATCTTGAAGAGGAGACATCATACGGGCTATCTTGAGTTCTCCCAGGAGAAACTTTTTGTTATCTCCTTTGATTATTTCATTAACATTCTTTAATAACCGAATCTCCTCTATACCTTGTCCTAGAGATTCAAGTGATTTCTTATTTCAAAAGTGTAATTTTAGAATCCTTCAGTGGTAAAGCAAAAGAACCAGAATGAAAAGAAAAACATACTAATTTTAAAAGCCTAGATACGTTTTCTGGACAGTTAGAAATTGTTGCACGTCGTGTAAATTTTTGTATTTCCAAGTAGTTTTCACTACTACACCACTTCGGTTTTGCAATTCTAAAACCGCAACGAACAATTCCCCAGACCTCGGGTCTAAAAAATTGAATAATCAAAATTGACATAGTCGTAAATACTAATTAAATAATAAAATGTAATATCTATCTACTACCTGAGAGGATGACCTGTTTCACGAGCAGACTCAGCCAAAATATCAGAAACTACTGTACCAGATTTTAGTTTCCATTTCTTCCAAATGTTCTCATTAAAAAAATTCTCAGACTCTGGTACCAGTTCTTCATCGGTTTCTTGAATGATCATCTCAGGATCAATTATGATTCCTTCTTCATAATTTCCGAGTCCATGGTCAAAATTCATGTTCTGAAAATCCGCATCCTGAGAAACAATCTGATTAACTTTTGATAGAAATATTTAAGGTGAGAAAAAAACAACTCTACGATTTTTTCTTGTTTCTACCTCATTTGGATCAAACAATTGTCCTACAATCTCGAAACCGTTTCTTCTCTCTTGTTGATGAATCTCCGTGTCAATGGTTCTGATCTGCGTATTCAAAGAATGTCAAAGGGTCAGAAAATATTTTTGCTAGTCAAATTTTAAATCATGTATCGTATCGACCTTATTGGATCCTTTCTCATTTTGTTTATACCCCGAGAACTCGGAATACACCCTCTTGCGAGCATTCTTGGGTGATGAAGAAAAGAAATAAAGATATGTAAGTAAAGCAAAATATGTTTTGTGTAATATTTGTCAACGTGATAGTAGCGTTAGCAAACCTCAGCTTCTTCTAGTGTTTCCTCAGCCATCTTTTCCACCATTTCCTGGGTTTTACCTCTCACATTAACGTGACAGCGTACCTGTATGATATCAGTTAGAATAAAATTCAAATGTTATTCAGTGCAAGGAATACTTACCGTCCGCATAGTTCTTTGTGATTCTAGACATTGTAATTCATATTCTAACTCGATTTTATTCCAGAAGTTATTGATATCTTCATTGTGTAACCGATGTTTCTAGCAAAAAAAAAAAAAATTGTGAATAGTATGTAAAAAGTTTGTGTTGGCAAGGTGAAATGAGTGAGTGAAATATTTAGTTGTTTCAGTTGGTGCAAGCAGACCACAACGACAAATAGATGCTCAACGTAGTTATGTGCAACAAATAGATGCTCAACTGGAAGATTTCCCAGACCATAACGGACAAGTAGACCATAAGAAGAGCAACAAATAGATGCTCAACGTAGTTATGTGCAACAAATAGATGCTCAACTGCAAGATTTCCCAGACCACAACGGACAAGTAGACCATAAGAAGAGCAAACGTAGTTATGTGCAATTCAGATCGCTGGAAGATTTCCCAGACCACAACGGACAAGTAGACCATAAGAAGAGCAACAAATAGATGCTCAACGTAGTTATGTGCCCAGACCACAACGGACAAGTAGACCATAAGCAGAGCAACAAATAGATGCTCAACGTAGTTGTGGGAGTTTTTAGGACTACTGGAAATCTCCCATACTGCATACCAACAGTTTACAAAGTTCAAATTTAACTTGCCTTAAAACTTTGTAGTAGCCGACCCAATACTTTTTTAACTTTTTTAACATTGCCTTCCGAATACTCTCTCATCATGTAGTCCAGGCACTTTCGAAGTCCGTCCACTTCTCTTTGAAATGAGTATGTAAAATCAGTCTGTTTACTACGATATTTGTAAAAGTCCAAGAAACTGTAATTTTCAGGTGTCGTTTCTTTGAAATAATTATAGTAAGTTTCCATCATTGTGTAATAAAGTGGTTTTGTTGTTTTGTTGTTTTGTGAGTAAAAAAAAAATTGATGAATCTAATCAAGGCTTGGCAAAAAAATCATTACCAAATAGAAGGCTTGTAACATCTAGGGGTTAGAAGAATACGTAACCACTAGGGTGGGGCGGTTCAAAAAAAAAACTGGGTTTAGTGAAACTAACTTTTTATTGGATAAATCATATGGGTATCACAAATGTATTTTTTTTTTATATATGGTGCACCAACTCTTAACCCGACAATAAAATCACCTGACTTTGAAACCTTTCAACTCAACATAGAGACAT